CCCCGTTCAGCCCTGCTTTCCCTGACCCCCTCCTGGCCAGCCCTGCTTCCCACCAGCCGGTTTCCCCCCCACATCCTGCCGGCCAGCCCTGCTCCCCTCCTGGCTGGTGTCCCCCACTCCTATCTGAGATCAAGTGTGTCTGGTATTTTTTAAGCCATCTGGTAACCCTACTTACAGTCCCCTCCTGTGCTCAATTTTAAACACCCCCCTGGCACCCTCTCTGTAGAGGGGTTTTGTGAAGTCGGGGTCAGTTGAGACCTGAGGCGAGGGCCTAGGTCTGTGCTACAGTGAAATGGAGGGAGACTAGAGGCCTTAAATACAGGAGCCTGAACATAGACACCTACATCCATAGTCAGGCAGGGGACCATGCGGCTTGTGGGTCAGAACCGCTGGGCACTCAGGACCGAATCCCATTGTGGCCCCAGTGAGGTTGCAACTTGACTCAGGTGTTGAGAGAGATGAATATGGATTTGGGGTCTAACCAGTGGGTGCTCTTTGTGGGATATCTCAACTTGAGCATTTCCCCAAGGCGGCCGAATCTGGAGAAGGCCACAAATCTATTGCTCTTTCATCAGACATAATGGAGAACCGACGCCAGTGGAGGCTGTGGGGTCGGGGCCTGTTGTGGATGAGGGGTAGCGCATGCTGTACATGCTGGGTGCTTTTGGGGGTGGTGAGGGACAGAGTCTGGGCAGAACAGGGGCATGGGAAGGATTAAAGCCCCTTCTGACGTGTCTCCAATTGCCCTTCTCCCCCGACAGGCTGCAGGACACCCATGTCTGTCTCCAGCTCAGCCCCGGGCCTGCAGAGCCAGGGACAGGAAATGGCCGTGGCGGGGCCGGTGACCTTCGAGGAGGTGGCTGTGTATTTCTCCGAGGAGGAATGGGCTCTGCTGGACCCGGGCCAGAGAGCCCTCTATTGGGACGTGATGCAGGAGAATTACGAGGCTGTGAGCTGGCTGGGTAGGGATTCCTGTCCCCGCGGGTATTAGAAGCTGGGAGGGCTCTGAAGCACCTGGGTTGGGTTTGGTTCAGGGTCCCTCATTGCTCCCTGCTCCCCAATATCAGGAGTATCAGCCCCAATAATCTTGGCTCCCATGTGAGAGACTGTCCCCTCCCCGTGCTCTCTCTCATGCGAAGCAGGTTCAGGGACATACCAATGGTTCTGCTCTTCCCACAGCCAAGGTCTCAATGTGCTTCCCCACCATCTTGCCCATGTTGTGCCTTGGCCGGAGATGTCGGTGGCAGGGCCTGGGCAGGAACGGCAGGTACCAGAGTTCTGGGGTGGGTCCAGCTGCTGTTAGTGCCTGCAGGGTCCCCTTGTGCCAGTGGCTGAGCCCCTGAAAGGAGGACGTGGTTCCCAGAGTCCTTCCCTACCTGTGGCTGATCTCTCTGACATGCTGGTTCCTGCTGGTGAGAGGGGCTAGCACCTGGGGGCAGTAGATGTGGCCATTCACACTGTGTGGGAGTCGATCTGTAGCAGATGAACATGAGCAGAGCTCTTCCTGTGAAATATCTTGCAGTAGGGACTTTTTTTTTCCTTGATGAATATCTGGCTTCACGCTGCGTCCAATTGCGTGTCCTGCTACAGACATCCTGTGTGACCTTGGTCAACTCACTTAGACTGTCTATGTCTGGTCCCTTCTTGGCAATAGCTATTATAGTGTGTCCCTACATCACAGGGCTGGGGAAGGATACATACAATAACTAGGGGTGACGCTACACTCATATAAGCACCCCGATAGCACAGTGGGGTGCTGATTGACATCAGACTGAACCTTCTGCCTGCTTGTTTTATGCATAAGTGTCAGTGTGCTCCTCTGCCATGTCTTAGGAGTGCATGTTGGCAGGTACTGCATGGATGGGGTGTTTTACTGCCCTCCTCCACACTCGGGAATGGGCTTGCCTGCTTAGCTGGGACCCTCCCATTCGACCAGGATCACGCCTCTTCTGGTTCAACAATGATGTACACGCACAAACAGGATAATCCCAGTGTGGCGTAGTGGGGGGCTGTCTGCTCTGTGACCCGGTGTTCCCCTGCGCTGGGATGTGAGATTCCCACTGAATCACCCGCATGTGTATTAACCCAGACACCCAGGCCCAGCCTGACGAAATAACAAGGCGTTTCCGAGAGGGAGATGGAGACAAACACCTGGGTTGGGAGCAGGTTCTGTGAGGGGGGTTTGTTGGTGGCTGGGAAACATGAAGGAAACAGCTTAAAAACTGAGAGCTGGAGGATCTAGGGGGATGATGGACCCCCCCTAACCCAAGGGGTCTGAGGCATCCTAGCCCTACCCCTGTAGCACATCACGTCTATGCTGTGCTGTGTACTGGAGGAGCAATAAACCCTGTCTGTTCTACTGGCTGTCAGACTGCTCTTGCTGCTACGGGGCTGCAGGATTTGGGGGAACCCTGACTCGCCGTCACACACAGTCACCACATCACAGTGTTCCCATTGGCACTGCACACGACATATTTTGCAGTTGTGTACCAGTGGTAGCACAATGGCCGACGTGGTCGTGTTTCAATCCTTAAGGTCACGGCAGGCAGGGGATCTTCACAGCGTTAAGTGATGGTCCGAGAAGGGCTCTGGCAGAAGGGGTGAGAACGTGCTCATGAGTTACCACACACAGTCACCACATCACAGTGTTCCCATTGGCACTGCACACGACATATTTTGCAGTTGTGTACCAGTGGTAGCACAATGGCCGACGTGGTCGTGTTTCAATCCTTAAGGTCACGGCAGGCAGGGGATCTTCACAGCGTTAAGTGATGGTCCGAGAAGGGCTCTGGCAGAAGGGGTGAGAACGTGCTCATGAGTTACAAACATATGAATGGCAGATTCCATGCAGCCGAAGGGGGGGGGGGAGGCACCACTAAAGGAATGTGGGGAAACTGCACAGAGTAGAACCGAGGCTGCACAGGGGAGCTCAGCTGAAGCAACAGCCACAAGCACCGAAGAA